TGCCTGTAGAATTAATTACAACTTTTGAAACGTAACAATATGCAAACGGTCCAATTTTTCTCAAAGCATTTAATTCCTAAATAAAAAGGCAAGAGAAACCCAAATTTTGCAACAGTTTAAACAATCGATTTGGATTGTAATATGTACCATTGAGTTAAATAGAAAAATAATATTTGAGAACAAAATTCCAATTTTGTAGTAATACCAATGATTTAAATGGCTAAGTGTTTAATTTAACTGAATATAACACCAATTCTTAAAGTAATACCATTGGGACAAAATTGTAAAATGATCGACAGTTCAGTACAAAATTTCAAATTCAAAGTAATACCATTGTTTGAACGGCTGTGTATAGTACTCTTGGTTTAATGGCTAATTGTTTGATTTTTCAACATATAACTCGAATTGTGAGGCAAAACTTGGATAACATATTTTAAAGTGATAGATATTCAGTACAAAACTGAAATTTTGTGGTTGTACCACGGGTTTAATGGCTGATTGATTGATATTTCAGCGTATGACTCAAATTGTGAGGCAAAACTTTAGAAACATATTTCAAATTGATAGATTTTCAGTACAAAACTGCAATTTTGTGATAGTACTGTTGGGTTGAATGGCTGATTGATTGATATTTCAGCGTATGACTCAAATTGTGAGGCAATACTTCGGAAACATATTTCAAATTGATAGATAGATAGATGACCCAATAGGACCACCTAGTTTCAGTACAAAACTGCAGTTTTAAGGTGGTCTTATTGGGTTTAATGGCTAATTAATCGATATTTTTACCCAAAACCGCAATTTTATTATAATACTATTAGGCTAAATTGAAAATTGAATGATATTTCAGTAAAAAATCTCCAATTTTGTATAAATAATTTGGAAAAATATCAATCTATATATTGATAGACATTTCAGTGCAAAACTGCAATTTGGTGATAGTACTATAGTGTCAAATGACAAATTGATTGATATTTTTTCATATTTTCGCATAAAATTGCAATTTAATAGAAATGGAAATGATAAAGATGGGATAAAAGTTAAAGTATTTAAAGTGAAATTTTTTTAATACCATTCGGTTAAATTGCAAATTCATTGATATTTCAGCTCACAACTAAAATTTTGTTATAATACAACAAGATCAGATTAGATCGCAAATTTATTGATATCCAGCAAGACGATAGATATTTCAACAACAAAAAAAAACAACTCCGATGTTGTTGTATTATTTGGTTTAATGGCTTATTGATTGGTGTTCTCTAATTTGTACAAAATTATATTAAATTTAAATTTGAGCACAAACATACAGTGTCTATTTAATATTAAAATGACTGATTTTTCATCCCGCTTACACATTTTGTTTTTTTGTTTATACATTTACAAACTGATTTACTGATGCTGTTAAGTAAACGAAAACTGTTTAAAATAATAATTGAAAGTATTTTTCATAATTTATGCTTTCGAGTCACTGAACGTGTAACATGCAAAAACCACTTATAAATTGTGCACTTATAAACGCATAATACAAACATGAGATGAAAAAATATCAAAATAATTTATTCAAAACGTATATAAGATTAAGTTTCAATACCTAACAGTTGATGTGAAAAGTGATGACGAATTGTAATGATGAGGACAAATTCAAAGGAAAAAGTAACGTCCCCAAAACGAGGTAATTATTTGTAGAATAATTGAACTTTACAGCAAATTAAAAGATTAAAATAGTCGAGATAGAAAATATTTGATGTTCCGACGAATTGATAATGCAAAACCGAAACAGTTTAATAGAAAAATGCCTATTTTTTAAGATATCCAAGGGAAACATTGTACGATTTGTAAAATCATCATGTCATAATAGATTTTACAAATCTATTCCAAGATTACAATACAAAAAAGTAGATAAATAAAATAAAACAATATAAATAAGGCAAAAATAAGCCTCAGGTCAAACCAAAATTTATGCAGTTTACACAATGAAAATAATAAAAAGTGCATACTTAATTTTCGATACAATTTATAAATGACAAGAGATGAAGATATTACTGTCAATGGACGGGGGGAAATCAGTGAAGCTGTTTCAAACGGACAACGAATTATTGAGGTAAGTGAACAGTTATTCACCTTGGATGAACTACATCTAGATAAAGGCGAGATTGTCGTCCACCCACGGCTAAGTGGAACTGCCCGTCTACGTGATAAAACGGCTTAACTACTCCTATTAATCAAAATTCGATTGACACTACCTTTAAACTAAGTAAATTCATTTGAAAGAATTCTATGTTTAATTTGATTTTTCCATGGCAGACCGGTATCAGGTAAAAAGCAAGGAAACACAAGGGGTTAAACTGGAATAATTTCGCCTAAAATGGTAGAAATTAGAGCATACTGCCAAAATTTACAAGAAAGAAATACCAATTGGCAAATTGTCGCAGCAAGTGTAATTCGAGAAAAGTTAATGAAACTTTTCTTAAGGCTAGCACATTACATATGTTTTAAAGTTAAGCAGTGGACTTACAGTAAGTTCATAAACACCCGAAAATACCTACAACTGTGAGATGTTCATCAAAGAAATTAATAGTAAATCAAGTAAAAATCAATCAGCAGGGGTGAGGACGAGGACTACAACGTTCTTGAGAAAATTAATTATTCTTTCTATGTAAGGATTTGGTTGAGATAAAAAAGTCAGTGTCACGAGCGGGATTCGAACCCACAACCTTAGGTACGCCGCACTCTACTACTCAAGGCGTATTTAGCCGAAGGTCGTGGGTTCGAATCCCGCTCGTGACACTTTCTTTTTTTATATCTCAACCAAGAAGAAAGAAAGAATAATTAATTGAAAAAAGTACCTTGGTCAATTGACCTCTAAAACTTAAATGGGTTATTGAGAAAGTGGTTCAAACAGAACTTCAAACTGTTTATGTTATGTATTAACTGCTTATTAAGTACCCTTAAATCATTATTCGGAGGAAATATCGTTTTGTTGGAATTTGTAATGAGTCGTTCAGGTGTTAAAAATGCTACCCAGTAGAAAATACGGAGGGGAGAAAATTATAAAAAGGAGATAGGCAGAGCTGATAGATGAAAGATAAGGACGGAATATCCTCGTAAGGTTGGTTGACCTAAAATAGACATCGATTCTTCCTCGAACCGCCCTTATCCTCCTCACTATGAAGAATCCTTCTTCTTCGTAAAATAGAAAATTTCAGGCAAAAAATTTTTTTTAAAAATTATAATTGTATTATTATATTCAAGCAAAGATTAAATTATTTAAAATGTATAACGAAAGAAAGTCCATTGTAGACTGCACGTAAATAATACGTTATAAAAATAAATAGCACATTAATAATTAATAAATCTGTCGAGTTAATTGAATAACTATGAAGCTTTTAATATTATTAAACGTAACTATCATACAATCTCAAATTTTCCATTTAAGAAATATTTTCAAAAATTACAATGAATATGTCTTAAAATTGTTGATATTAATTGAAGAGAGAAGGCTAACAGTTTAAGAAAATTAAATTTAATAATATAAACATTTGTCAGAACATGATGAAAAATAAACTTGCAAGCCTGTGTCTTAAGAGTGAATGTTTTAGAAGCTTATCCCCGAGTTTACTATGTTTTAAACTTGGCAAAATTTAGGTATAAGAAGTTATAAACCCAAGTAAGGGTTAATGCAGGTTTATTATTTAAGAAAGGAGGCGGGTCGGGCCAACTGGTCATTTATTTATTCAATACAGTCCTAATAACATTTTAATAATAGATTATATTGTTGATCACAACTTTATTCTTGACTCTAAAGAATGACTAGGTGGTGAATAAAAGTTGTTAGAAAATTTTCGAAACGGCTTATACCAATTAATAAAACTTGATATATGCGGTGTTACGATAAATAATGATAAATAAAAAAATTGTCGATTCATTAAAACCAGCGTATAAATATTGCCAGGACCGCCTTAATCCTGTTAATTTCCTGTTTTGACAGGTGAGCTTTACGACCTGCGTTTAAACGGCGTTGACGGGTCAGGGAAAAACAATGCTTTAACTTTAAATTAGCATATAAAAGCGCAAGGACGAAACGGGAAATCGAACCCTGGCCTTTTCAACTTTAAACACCTCCAGCTCCTTTAACTTGGAAAATTGTCGAACAATTTTCTTTTAAAGGAAAGTTTCGCTTGCATCCCCCTCCCCCGCCAACAGATGTAATTTCTACTGAAAAGACGTGATATTTATTTTAACAATTTGCCGTGTTCGATTTCAATATTAAAACAATGTTAAAGGACGTAAATAGTGGTTGAGAACCAGATTTGAATGTATTATTTATTGCTTGTACGTGCACTAGAATTGAAAATCACTATTATTAGTTTGGTGAAAATAAATTTAACAACAGTTAAAACAAAAAATTAATCTTTGATAAGCTTCAAAGCAAGATTTACTTTTAATTTTTAATTAACTTTAACATCTACATGCTTTTTAATAGTATCTTATCTTTGATTAATTAAACTACTGAAAATAATGAACAGGGCTTTTTTTAAACAATTTTGTCTTACGAAATTAATACTGGCGAAAAAAAGCTCCAAATATTTTAAAACATATTCTACTCGAATACCTGCGGTCATATATATGAATTTTTCCCCTGGCTAAAATAATCCTGAAGTCGGAGGATGGATTTCCACCTGTTTCCATTATGATTAAGGTTTTATATACATATGTATATATTTATTTTATTCTTTTCGGCATTTTCTCATTCTTTCTGTATTTCTCTGTCGTTATCTTCCTTACCTAATTACTTGTCTACACATTTCTTTCTTTTTTTAACATTTCTCTTATCTAACGATTTTCTTCTGACTTTCTATTTATTTATCTAAGTAATTAATCTATCTATAAATATAGATTTTTCACACTGTTCCTTTTGGAATTAGAGCATAATAATGAATAATTATAATTAATATAAATTAATATATAAAATATATTTTTTTTAATAGTTAAAAAAATACCTGTTTTGCTATTTGCGTTAGGTCTGCGGCTGAATCTGATTTGTCAAATCTCTCGAATTTGAAGCTGTTGCTGCGGTACAGCTCGTTGTCCTTTGATTTTCGACAGCAGAAGCGTCTTTTGATAAACCTAGGGTTCAATTCGATGAGGTGGCCAGGGCCGATGAACTTTTTCAACTCGTCCTCAGCATATTCCGACTTGGACGTTTCACTTTTGCCCGGTTTGACACGCTTCAGGAGCCGCTCCATGTCGTCTGTCCAACTCCAGAGCGGGGCACAAACTGGATACTGGAACTGGATAGTGGATACAGAAACTCCAGGAGCCTCCCCCTCCACCACCAACGAGATCCCTCCTTGATCCTTTTTTTTCGTTTTGTTTATGTATTGTATTAATCACAAATTAATGCCTTTTTACGCATAACTTTAGTCATTATTATGTATATATAATACACCATACATATATTATGTATTTATTATTTTTTAAATATATATATTATAGCTGTGGATTCATTCCTATTTTTATAATATTATCGAAATTATAAAAAATAGGAATTCGAAAAAATAATAAATCAACTCAATTTTTAATAAATATTTGAAGTTTTTGCCCTTATTTGCAATGCAATAATCTGATCATTTTTAGAAATGTATCCTTCATAATTTAAAAAAATTTTTTTTTTTTTTCTATCAATTATCTAAATTTATCTTAATTATTTTAAAATTTCAAATAAATGTTTATTACAATTATTTTAATTAAATAATTAAACATTGATTTTTTATTTAAATATGAAAATCAAATAGAAAAGCCAGACAAAAATACTTTTTTTCAGCATCTGATTTACCAATTTTCTAATTGTCACTATTTTTCATAAACTCGAATGAACAAAAATAAATAAAAATTGAAAACTAAAAGAAAAATTGACCAAGACCTCTTCATCCTTGGTCTAATAAGCGATAATTCTTTATCCTCAACTAGGCAAGTAAAAAATTATATATTTATTTATGGGAAAATTTCCCATAATATGCTAAAATATTCCAAAAATTAGTCATTAAATACGCTATCATTGATCAAAATTCAGCAAATTACCGTCAGCCATAATCCTATTCCATAGACTATGTTTTAACTTTATTGTCACATAAAATGTTTTATAATTGACATATTGAACTTTTTGTACACTACTTTTCTATATAGTATTTCGTCTTTATTTGTGATGCAGTAATCCAATCATTTTTATAAATTCATACTTCTTAATTTAAAAAATATTTTTTCTATCACTTATCTAAATTTACCTAATTATTTGTAAATTTCAAATAAATGTTTAAGGACTCAAATAAATGTTTATTACATTTACACCCGACCGCATCTCACGATATCTGAATAACTATCGATTAACGGTCACTAATCTCTACACCCACGTTTATTACATTGTATTAAAATAAAAACCTAAACAAAAATTTTTATTAGCATCAGCTGGTTGTCAGAGCCACTTGCAACATCCTACAGTAATGCACAATGTGTTCAAAATAACAATTAAAAACAACAATAACAAATAAATTAAAAATAGAACAATTACAACTATTATTACAACCCTTATTTTAATATAATTATATTCTTTTGTTTATATTATTCAAGAAGTCCCCTACTGCAGAGATCACCTCGCTAGAACTGGAGCATATTATATTTCCTATTACATTTTTAATAGCACTCAGCACCTTCAAACGTTTCTCTTCGTAGAGTGGACACATCATGATTATTTGTTCCAATGTTTCTATGTTACCACAAGTGCACTTTTTGTCTTGTACCTGATTTATCATTTTTAAGTAATATTTTCACACACCGTGATTGGTCCTAAGTCTCACCACTATCCTGCACATCGGTTTTTTAAGAGTGATTGTTACAAACCAGGGTGTTGACGAAATGGCAGGAAACATTTAAATTTTTGTGCTTAAAAACAATGGCGATGTTCTTTTTGACAACATCTGATTTTCTAACGGTTTTCATCATTTTTCATTAACTAAAAGAACAAAAAAAAAGCCAAATAAAGGAATTGAATGATTGTCCTTGTCCTTACAAGTGGTAATAATTTGTCACCCCTCATGGAAAAAGTAGGTAAATCAAAAACAACTAACATTTCAGGATTGCCATTTTCAAGTTAGACTTATGGTACAAAGCCAATTTTTGTAGAAACTATTTCTTTTATTATGCTCACATTTAATTTAAAAATCAGATATATATTTATTTATGGGAAAATTTCCCATAACATATTAAAATATCCCAAAAATTAGTTATAAAACATATTCTCAATAAATTTTATACATAGTTGGATGTAGTAGTACAATAGTAGTATAGTATACGACTAATTATTACTATTGACTAATTATTATTTTATAAAGAATAAACCCTAGAGAGAGGGGGAGGGGGCATCAGGGGCGGCAACGGTTTAGGCATTGACACGGCGCTCATCACTGTAAGGTAAAGGTCCCGGGTTCGAATCCAGCAGCCCTGCATTCGAAACCGACATACTTTCAAATGGGCTTTTTTTTTCAAAAACACCGGCACCATGAGAGCTGATATAACCTCTGCTGTTGTGGAAAAAAAAATAAATAAACCCTAGATACATAATTTGAATACAGTTATATGGTTGTCCATTAAATTAATTTTAAAAGCTACATGATGAAGAAATTTATTTTGTACTTTCTCTTTGTATTTCTTTATTATAATTTGGTGATAACACAATGATATTGAAATTTTGATTTTGATTAAACAAGAGTACATTCTGTGATTTAAATACTTCTTTTAGAGGCGCCAGGGGCCACAACAGTTTAGGTGTAAATTAAAGGTTCCGAGTTCAAATCCAGTGGCACTGCATTCATACCCGACATACTTACAAATAGGCTTTTTTCCAAAACACCAGCACTCCAAGTTCATATAACCTCAATTGAAATACCCTTGTTATAAAAAAATGTAATAAATGAATAAAATGTAAAATTATAAACAAAAAAAAAATAAAAACTTCTTTTTTCATTAATGTTCATGCATTTCCTGGTGATAAACTAGTTTTGTAGGCTTTCCTGAATATTATATATGGGGATGGTATTAAGGATACTATCCGCTCATTGGAAGACATGTTATTGCCATTCATGTCCATCCCAGTGCATAATTCCTTAATTCATTGCAATCGACTCGATACTGCTAAGAACTAATAGGTCATTGCTACAATTCCTTTCCCTGGATTTTCTTTGTATCCCAGGTCATGTCGATTGAGTGGTTTGTTTGCATTTGAAGATGATAGGAGTGGCTATTTCTTCTTCCTCGCTGAAAAACCTACAAATTCCACACGGTGTAGTTTTGTCATCTCTGAACATCCTGGTCAGCCTATTCACACTAATTTGGTCTGTCATAGTCATTTTTGCATTTTGCCGCATTCATTCAATGTTTGTGTGAAAAAGCAGGCAAGGATGATCAGAGATGACCAAATTACATACTTTTTTCTACTACCTGTTCTCATATTCACTTAATGATAATGAGGATATTCTTGTTGTTTGATTATTTTAGTTTGCCTATCCTTGCTGGTTTTGTCAGATACATTTCAGCAATACAATTCAGAGCTTGATCTGATAGAAAAACCGGGAATAAGCAGACCAAGATGATCAGAAATAATCGAACAAAAGATTTATCACCTTGCAACCTCACTACAATTTCTCATCATATGTTTTTAAAAAGAAATTTTCAGTTTTTAAATTTTAGGAAAATTAAACATTGAAATAAAAACAACTGTATAAATTATTTAGATATAATTTAATATTCGTGTAATATTCTTCATAAATACAACTTTTTTTCAGATTGTATACAATGAGCACGAGCACATTAGGGAAAAACTGTAAAAACCAAATAATGCTTTTTCTTAAAAGTTCTTACCCTTTTTCATTTATATATGAATGAAGGTTTAGCATAAAGTTATGTTACTTGATAGTCAATTTAAAAACAATGAATTAAAACAATTTAATTCTCTCCGACTTTTTTCACTTCAGAAAGAGCGACAGTACATTTCTTTTTTAATACTTTAACAGCTTCCCTGAATAACTCATGAGGAGGAATGTTTACTACTGATTCTATTGAAAATATAAAATGATCTTTCACTCTTCCAATTACAACACTGTTTCGTAAGTCAGGTTCGTTCAGAACATTCCTACTACACATGTCAAGCCTAGGATTGTCCACAACGGCCACATTTTTCCCTTTCCTGCTTTCAATCCGTATGACACCTTTTGAAAAACACTTTTGAAGCCTGAACGCCTTCTCGCCTTCGACTTCCTCGACTAATTTGATAAACGGCAGGAGCCTGTAAGAAGCGGTTCCAACCGGTGAAAATTTAGCATGGTCCCTGCCGTTGCTTTTAATCGCAGTCATCTTAACATGAAGTTCATGACCTGGCCTCATTTTCAAAAGGAGAATATCATCGTACATGGGGCCCATGTCTTCTTCTTTATAAAGTGAGCTCTGTCCGCCGTAAGGTACCCATTTGATATCTTTGGATAATATTTGATGATTAATGTACATATCTTCATGCCTGTAGTGCCCTGCTCGGCAGTGTGGGTTTTTAGTGCATTTCACTTTAAGCTCGTAGTGCAGAGTGTCTCGATCTGTTCCTACCGGATCGCCTGGTATTCTGTACTGAAAAAGCCTTGCGTCTGCTTTAAGGGGGATCAGACCAAGCCTGTGGGCCATGACTTCATCCTGCATCACAGTCTTGTTCTGATATACTGTGACTTTTTCAACAGCCATAGTGGGCACCTCGGACAAAAGGATCCTTCTGAAAGAGTTGATCATCGCTGCATTTATTCCAATCATATCGAATTCAATTTCTTCCTTGTTCGAATGGATCACCTTCACGTGTAGTTTGTCAACGTAGCTTTGAAGATCCCAATTATCGTTGATTGAGGAGGGCGCCGGCCTCAGAACATCTTCGCCCATAACCATTACATCGTCCATTGCGATGGAGATAAAAAGTATTTTAAAAAATATGCATATTTACAACAGTACAATAATAATGAAGAAAGTCTTGTTTTTATACTTCAGCACGTGTAGCATTTTCAGTACATAATTATTTTCACATATTATAACCTCTCTAAAAGTGACCAACGGATTTAAGAACGTCACAGTCTGACGTCACCTTGGCGCAACATTCAAATTTATTCTCCCACAATTTATTCATTATTTTTAAAGAAGCGTTTGATAATTTTAACTTTTATTTTAAAAAATTCAACCAATATAAGAATTGTGTTATGTTCTTTCATAAATCAATATTTTAATTTTTTTATACTTGCACTGGAGGTGTTTCAAATCTCTCTTTTGGGATCATTTTAAATTATTTTGAATATAAAAGAAATAAACTTTAGTCCACCCACTCAGCATAGTTTTGTTTCAAAATGTTCTGTTTTTACAAACACAGTGAAAACCTCTGGACAAAAAACATGACTCAAACATTCCAACCTTCATTTCTCCAGGGCTTTGATCGTGTGTCTCACAAACTTTTAATTTACAAACCGGAGGGGCTTGGGATCCATAGTACTTTCCCAAATTTCTTGAAATCATACCTCTCTGACGGTATTTTTAAAGACAAAGTTGATCAAGCATAAATTCCTATACAGTGCGGAGCGGAGTTCTGCAAGGATCGTTCTTGGGTCCAATTATATTCATCGTTTTTACCAGTGATATAAATGACTAAATTCACTGTGAAATCAGTACTTTTGCAGATTATACAAAGACATTCACAAAACTCTGGACTGCATTCGCTGTACTGCAAAAGAGCATTGATGATATTTCTGACTGGTTCCTTCTTTGGGGTCTTAATCTCTACCCTGACAATTGTTCTCCATCTGTGCGCTAAAAATCATGTTTAACCCGCAAACTTGATAGTAGTTCTTTGGCCTCCAGATCATTTCAAAAAGACTTGAGGAAAACATTATCAGAAAAATGTGTGGTGTTTAGTGATCATTAATTAATGATTATTTGAATATCATGAGATGCGGTCTGGTGTGTCATAAGTTTAGAAAAACATTTTCTTTATTGTGCCAATGTTTTGATCTTTATTGAGATTCATCTTCAAGGCCTCAACATTGTTTAAATTATACAAATACATGTAGGAAATGAATGTAAAAATGAATTTATACAATGATAGAAATTTTAGACTCAATCAAAGTATTTGTACTCACTCAAAGTGTTTATTTTCTGTGTAGTTGTGTCATACTGTCACGTATAACATATTTACACAGAAAATTTAAAAAACATAAAAGGCCGTTGTCAATCTTGAGCACTTTTGACTTCAATAATAAGTTTCATTATTGAATTAGTTTGCAAGGGCCAATTGTCTGTATAATTAGAAAAATCAAAATCGATAGGGATTGCTATGAGACACCTCATTATTTGTAGTTTAGTCATTTTTAATAATTTTGCTGTGCCTATCTTCATTGGTTTTGTTTGTGTCATGCATTTTGGCCTTTTGTTATCTTCAGTGTTATGTTTGTGTGATTTTCTTATAAATTTTTATAAAGTGTAAAGCAAGACTAAACTAATTAATATAAGGTGAATTTAAAAATGTAATTTAATATAATTTAAATAACTATTTGTTTACTTTAAAAAGCATTGTATTGTTTTTTAAAAGTACTATTTTACAATAATAGCATACCTACATGACTCAAAAAGAAAATAATTATTAAGGTAAGTTTTTATATTACTTACTTGCCCTTTCTGATATAATTTGTGATCAAATTTGATAAATATGTATTAATAATTAATTGGTTGGCCCTATCCAAGTTAATTTATGATTTATTAATAGATTTCTCCTTTCCTTAAACTTTACCTTCTCAAATTTGTTGGAGTGAAAAAATTCATGTAAGTATGATGAATACCTGTATATAAATTTAATTACTTTTTATACTCTACACTAGTTCATTTACATCTTCCAGCAGCTACAGATAACCTTTTCTCTTAAGAAAAATAGTCTTTGAGTATCACAGTCCTACAATTTGATTTAGAACTAACCAGTTTAATTTAGCTTATGCTAAAAGTATATAGTTTTGTGGGTGAATGAAGAAAAAACACATGTAGACAGAACTAGTGAGAATATATGGACCAGGATGATCCTACATAAATACTATACATGCTTCTCAGACCAAGAAACAGTCACAATTTAAGAAAAGAAATTTTTACCCGCTTATTATAATTATATTACATTAAAATTAACTTAGCTTGACTTCATTTAAACTATGTGATCTAATGAAATGTGTGCTTTTATGACAAAAAGTATGAGCCAAGGGCATAGTGTAAATTTTATTTCTTTCAGTTATTGTTATAAAACATTATTTTAGTTTTTTTTTTTGTGAAGTATGTGACATTGAAATATACCATGGTCTATCAACACACAATACATTGTTAAAATTGCAATCAAGATTTATTATGTAGTCACATAAGATCATGCCATCCACATCCGGATAAGTTAAATATGACAATGAATATCCTGCTTCCTCTGGAGCACTCAATCAAATAAAGATTTTATCTATGCTATATATATACTTTATTAAACATCCTATTATTTCAAACTATTGCAAACAGTTAAGTGCAAATTGTACAAATCATTTCAGCAATGAAAGTTACATTAATTTTTACAGCCTGCTTTATGGTAATTCTAATTTGTTAATAAATAATGAACTACTATTTATTAATGCATTGTTTTTAATTTTTTTTATAGGCAGCAGTTGCATCTGCTTTGCCTCTTTATGTAAGTATTATTATTCAAATTAAAAATTAGAACTTTTTAACATAAATATATTTACTAAATAAATTAATTAAACAGACCAAATATGAAGGAAGAATATATAAAGACCAAGATGTTTAGAAACAATCGAACTCCAAACTAATTAGTTCTATGACTTGATATAATTTTAAAAGCACAAAAAGAAATTATTCATATTAATTGATTTAAAAAGATAGAATTAAAAAATGTAATTAATACACATGAAATTAATATTAATTATTGTACATTGTATATGCTTTATAAACATTCCTAACTCTACAATTGAGTGACTATCAATTTGGCTTTTGTAAAAAATAAATGTAGAAAATGATTATAATTTTTTGTTTGAATTATTTAAAAAAAAATTAAATATTCTATTTTGTTTTCCTCTGTTGAATGTCTTTTCACGTAGTTTGGGACATTTTTATTGCGCTTTTTCAAAGTTTTCCTTTATAAATTGTCTTCTTTTTTTATTTGCTTAAATAAAAATTGTTTATATTGATTTTGAATAATTATTTATTAAATTATATTCTACAATTCAAATATATGTTTCATACAGAAGAAAAACATTAGAAAAGCGCCACATTTTATTTCAATAGTAAACAATAATAATCATTCACTACTTTCGTGGTCCGCTTGACCAATTAATACATGACAATTAATTAAGGTTTTTAGTTGAGATGAAAAAAAAGTTAATGGCACGAGAGGGATTCGAACCCACGACCTTCAGCTAGATATGCCGCTGCTCTACCACCTGAGCTATCCTGACCTCGATCCACTCAGACATCAACTCCCCACCTCAACCCCACCTCAAGGAGGGAAAAACTCATAAGGTGGGGTTGAGATGGGGAGTTGATGTTGACGATAGCTCAGATGGTAGAGCAGCGGCGTATCTAGCCGAAGGTCGTGGGTTCGAATCCCTCTCGTGCCATTAACTTTTTTTCATCTCAACTAAAAACCTTAATTAATTGTCAAATAATAATAATAAATAAAAAAATTTAAAAGCAAGTAAATAAAAAGTGATGATGACCTAGTAGCAGATGCCACATGAATTGCTTTTACGTAAAATGTGTGGTGATTAGTGACCGTTAATCGATAATTATTCAGAAATCGTGAGATGCGGTCTGGTGTAAGTGTGTGTGTCACCAGACTGCATCTCATGATTTCTGAATAATTTTAGGTAAAACTTAAATAGTTTAATTTTTTCTTAGTGATAGTATGTTTATATATAGTATGTTTTATAATGTTTTATATAATTTTTTATATGTAAATAAGGGTGTTGCTCAGGGATCAGTTACCAGCTCCCTTTTACATTATCTTCACTAATGGTTTTTACATTAATTTTGGACATTTTCTGATGATAATTGGTATATTTTTCCATTAATTACTTGAGTAATGATTAATTATATTAAATGAATGTTTACTGATGGACCAAAACATCTGATTGAACAATGACAAGACCAAAATATGGCTTTTGGCCTTAACTCCAAATTTATCTATTTTGTCACTTTGAGCTCTTATATACAGTATATTCTTCTCGAGTTAAGTTGCTTAACTTGTAATATTATGGATAAGTCTATTTATATATATTTTTTAAATTAATTTCATTTATTTTCATAATTAACTTTTTTCAGTCTGAAGATGTTAATAAGGTTGATGGAAAATCAACTTCAATCGATTCAATGGACTATCTAAAGTTTGAAGATATGCCACAGATGCCGCCAATGCCACCAATGCCAGAAATGCCTACCGTGAACCTTGCAAGGAAAAGCAAAATGGATGATATGAAGGAAAAAATGAAAGAGAAGGCAGAAAAGGCGAAAGAATCGTCAGAAACCGCTAAGACAGCCAGTGCTGGTATGGCAGAACAGGCAAAGGAAAAAATGGGCTAATTTTGAAATAATTAAATATGATCGGTTATTAAAAAATAAAATCTTCTTTACACATGTACCTGTTTATTTCTCCTACAAGTTAACAATACAATGACAAATTAAAATAATACATATGTAGCCTTGATTTAAAAACATATTTTTTGTTTATTAAGTGCAAAATCTATGTATTACAATTAATTAGTGGTAGTTTAATTCGTGGAAGAAAAATCACCATAGAGGCAGATAAAATTATTATTTTATAGATTTTGGTTATATCCCACTGTCAGCCATATGTATAAATTGTACATTACATTGTTGTGGAAGAAAACCTTCAAATATATTCTCTTAAAAATAATGGCTTTTAATTTGAGATGGGGTTTGACTTAATTATTTATTTCTGGTGAAGGTTCATGCTATAAGCAATATTAGCCCTATTCCTATTTCAATAAATGAAGAATAGGATGACAATCTAAGCAGCTTCTTCATAAAAGATATAAATAATTTTAATTAATAGATGTTGTGCTATTAAATACTTTTAATTTTTCCCTGAATGTTACTAGATTGTTTATTAATTCATCCCATTTTGTTCATGTCAATTGATTTTGATTGTTTATGTTCTTCCTTACGATTTTTAGTAAACTATATAAAACCATTTTTTTTTTTTTTTTTACCTCCTTATTTTTTTTATATCGGTTAAATTAGAAATTGTAAATTTTAGATATAAAAAAAACTGCTAATTAACAACATTCTTAGAAATTAGACAATAATAAGCTTATCTAATTTTGAATATATACTTTAAGCAGAAATAACTTCTCCATGTTGCTGGTTGTTAGGGGTGGCAATGACTGAATTTGGCTGGTGATACCACATGAAGGAAGACCCCTAAGTATGATACAATTTTCAATAGACAAAGGAATGGTATTGTCCATATGTATTGATATTGAAATATAAGATCTCTGGATTACTAGAGTCATAAGTAAGGCTTAACTCTTCAAGTCCTAAATGTTGTTGATTATCGTTTAGTTCAATATTGACAATATTTGGCTGACATTTTGGAAGAGTCGTACAGTTCTCTGTTAGAGTATAACACCCTTTTGTCGTTAATGTTGAGTAAATACCCCTTGTATTGGCTTTATTGTGGTTCCATCATGGTTAATTATACTAATATTTTCTTCACTGGGAAATATAGCTAAATTTTGTCATGTGAGTGTCAAATGTTGACAGATATAATGAGAGTATTTACAATATGACAAATCACCAGAGTGAAGTATTGCTCAATATTTTTTAAAAAAGGATTGAACACCGCACTCACTCCATGATTCATCTTTTCTATTTATTTGCTAGTCAAAGCAGTAATGGACACAATCAATAATATTACTTCCACTTACTTAAAATCTGTTAGTAAACAAGTACCTATAAATCTTTCTTATAAATTAAGACTTTCATGCTCAAAAATCAACAAATCAATCTGGTTCAATTCCCAATGTTTGAAATTAAATCTAACCCCAAAATTCAATCTTGCTAAATTAAATATTAAGAACTGTTCAACTCTCGTACAACGTGCAATGCCAAAAAACCATTTTAAATAATGAATTACATAAATTGTACAATCAAAGAGATACAAAACGTTTTTATCAACATATTGTACACATTAGGCTTACCTCATTATTGTCTCCAGTAGAACGGGACGAATTCGATTATGACACCTGATCAAAATTTAAATTTATCATTGATAAAAAACAAAGTATATTAGATTAAAAAAATTAAAAACTTAAAGTACGGTACACTTAAAAATAAAATATTCATAAAGACCCAAATCACCAGTTAAATTTTACCCAAGGGTTATAAACGTAACAAAAATGGTACAAAATAAAGAAGAAAACAATTTATTAAACAAAGGCTTAAAATTGGTCCTTAAAACAGAATTGGATAGAAAAAAATACTATCCCTTGGTTCATCGGTAGATTGTTGTAACATAAATACAAATATAAAATATAAATGTGCTGAAATAATTAAAGAAAACTTGGTAAATCTAAACGTTAAAAAATTAAATATCCCATGTACAATTAGGTCTATTGATAAAAGGTTAAAAAGTAACAACAACGTTATTTTGAAAGCTGATAAAGGAAATAGTATAGTTATCATTGAACAACAAAATTACATTTCTAAAGTTGAGGATTTCCTAAATAATACGAGTGAAAAGAAATACAAACAGATCACACCTTAAAATTAAAAACTAGAGAAAAACTTCCTGTGATTAGGAACTATTTTTTTAAAAAAAGGATTGAACATCGCACTAACTTCATCATTCATCATTTCTATGAAGTATTGCTTTCAAACACAGGTTGTTCTGATGTTGATTGATGATCATAAATAATTAGACTTAATTTTTTCAATGTCTAGGTACGGTTTAGGTCTTTTAGGTCATTATATATCTAATGGCAATCGTAATAAAAAAATTTAGTTATAGTATAAGCAGGCTTGACTTATATTTTAAATAGGGGTCATAAATGTAAAGTTTTCAAGTATGTCAATGTATATTGTACTTTTCTTTGCAACTGAGGATGTATTTTCGAGATCCCTCTTTTAAAAGAGTTTTTAAAGTAACCCCAGCATAGGTCAATAGAGTTCAGCATTGGAAATAGTTGTAAACTTCTCCATTAGGTTCAAACATTTATGTTTTTAAGGGCGATGACACACGGAGCGGTTTTGACCGAAGCGTTTACCGCGAGAAAAATCGAGGCGGTGAGTCGTTCATTGTTGTTGCATTTAACCTGACAGACGTAGCGGTCGTAACCGCCTGTCGGTTTTCAAACCGAGTCGGTCGGTGGCGGAGACGACCCAACGCGTCGGTTTTGAAAACGCCAGGCGGTGAGTGGTCCCAAGTATTGCATCAGCCCTGACACACGTGGCGTTTATTTGAGCTGTTTTTCTTGTTTGTTCCCCACTTTCTTGAGGGGTTGTTCGTTTGTCAGTCTTCTAATTTACTTTTATGATGCAAAAAATAGACGTGGAGAAAAAAATTTGTAATGCGGCATTTTATTTTACTATGTAACTCGTCAAAACTGCCCATTTACAACCTGGTAATGTTAAAACATTCTTCAGGGTGTTTCCTCATCTCTGAAAACAAATTCTTAAAATGCCCTCTTTCGCTTCTCTTCTCGACAATTGGATGAACCCACATTCTCCTGTGTTTTTTCTCCATTCTCTTCTTCCAACGATAGTACAACAGACACCAGAAGTATCTCTTCATCCATGGGAACTCCATGGGGAATGGGCCAATGCCAGTTCAATAAGATTAATAAATAATAGAATTTTAGCTAATTCTCAACTTCCTGACGCCTAAGCTTTACATATTGATACTTAACCACCACTAAAAATGGGGGGGGGGAAATCTAAGTATTTACAGATTGTACGGTGCTGTACAGTAACACAACCGTTTTTAAAACGAACTCACCTTCCTCCAGGGCCTCTTTTAACTTTACAACTACTTGAAAGTACATCACCTTATAATTAAATGATTTCTACAGCTTTACGGGTACAAAGTATGCGTATGACTGTCGGTGATACATGGTAGTAACTAGTTTAATAAAGATTTTGTTTTGAATATTATCTGGAGGAGGAAGGGGACCTCGTTCAAATCCCAGCTCTGTGCCTTTTAAATTATAGTATGAAAAATGAAAAGTAGTTTAAACCTTGCTTGACTCTGAACAGGAATTACTTTACTTTTATTGATCAGAGAGGATTGATTTTTTTTTGTTGGGGGGAGCGAAACGGGAATCGAACCTACAACTGCAGGATTTAAGCCGAGAGTCTGACACGCCTACTCGGCTACCCGAGATCCCAGTTAAATATAAATCAACTTAAATATTTATTTTTAAAGACTATTTTTCAAAACTTCATAGAGAAAAGAAAACCGAACGAGACGTAGTGTGTAGATAACTGTGAGATTTCACTTTGTAGCCAGTTCCATGGAATGTTCATCAAAGAAAAAAAAAGTACTACATGGGGGAATAGTCTGTAATGCTGTAACTAATACACGAAGTTACAAACAGTTACAGAACAATATATTTATTAAACAGGACTTGTTATACAATCTGCAAAACCTTGCGACGTTCAATGCTTATATGCACTGCTATAGGATACATTTAATAACTGAGAGAAAACAAAACCGCTTCGGCCAAAACGCACATCATACCGCTGCGTGTGTCACAACCTAGCAAAACCGAAGCGGTAAACGCTTCGGTCAAAACCGCTCCGTGTGTCAGCGCCCTAACATAGATGGAACCTCTCTGAATCTCTGATAACCGTACCGAAGCGTTTGTACTTTGTTTAGTGATTGTTTTACGGCTGAAAATAGTGTTTTAGTACTTTTTTCTGGGCAAAATGTTAATTAAACGGTTAAGGTACATCTTAGCGGTGTTTTTAGCTGTATTATTCTCCTGTCTAAGTTCAACCCATTGTAGACACACCAATAATTGGGCTGTATTAGTGGATACTTCTAGATTTTGGTTCAATTATAGGCATGTCGCGAATGTTCTTTCTATTTACAGGAGTGTCAAAAGGCTGGGGATACCCGACAGTCAGATTATACTGATGATAGCCGACGATATGGCTTGCAATCCACGAAATCCCAGGCCTGCAACCGTGTTCAACAATGCCAATCAGAATATTAACGTTTATGGTGATGATGTTGAAGTAGATTACAGAGGATATGAGGTGACTGTGGAAAATTTCGTGAGGCTGTTAATCGGTCGCCTGCCTGCCGGCACGCCTAGGTCTAAACAACTTCTTACCAACGAAGGAAGCAACATCCTGGTTTACTTGACAGGACACGGTGGCGATGGGTTTCTAAAATTCCAAGATTCCGAAGAAGTGACCAGTCAAGAATTGGCAGACGCCGTTGAGCAGATGTGGCAGAAGAGGCGTTACAATGAAATATTTTTCATGATCGATACATGCCAAGCTGCGAGCATGTTTGATAAATTCTATTCGCCTAATATTTTAGCTGTTGCGAGCAGCTTGGTGGGTGAAGATTCTCTTTCGCATCACGTCGATCCTGCCATAGGTGTCTACATCATCGACCGGTACACATACTATGCACTTGCTTTCTTAGAACGTGTCCAGCCCAATAGCACTAAAACCATGTTTGAATTCTTGGCTGTCTGTCCAAAACGCGTTTGCATCTCCACAGTCGGCGTGAGGAAGGATCTCTTCAAAAGAGACGTCAAAAAGGTCCCTATTACTGACTTCTTCGGAGCGGTTCGCAATGTTCAAGTTATGGATGAACCGTTGAACATTCCATTAGAAGAAAATGAAATTTCATATGTCAAAGAAGAAAATTTGGGATATGAAGACATAGATTATAGATATAAATCAATTTTTCCTATTGTCAAACCTAGTCTTAGTAGTTAATTAAAGAACATTCTAATTTTATTATTAATAAACTGTGATACCACCTCAAGTTTATACTTATTTGTTCATAATAATTATATTAATTCATTAATTTATAGTTTTTTAAGCAAATTTAAAACTTAGAATAAAGGAATATTACTTCATTTACTTCTTATTTCTAAGTACATCATTAATTAGTATTTTTCTTAACATAAATCATTTTCAATGGATCTACAACTCCTCATAGTTATTATTTCTAGATGAAAGTCTGATCTATCGCACAACTAAATCAATACCTCTGCCAATGTTTGTGTAGTGCTTATTCTCACAGGGTCATACAAACTACTAAAGATGAAAACCATCATATGATGATCAAAATTACTCATATGAATATATAATAAAAAATATGAAATGATACATTTGATTCTGGTTGGAAAATAAATTATGTGATCATTAAACTCTGCAGGGGCGTCAGTGACCGCAGCGGTTAAGGCATTGACATGATGCTCATCGCGGTCAGATAAAGATCCCGAATTCCAATCTGGCAGCCCTGACTTCAAACCCATCATTTTTACAAATGGGCTGTTTTTCAAAAAACACTGACACCCTGAGGGTTGATATGACCTCTACTGTTGCAAACCCTCGTAAAAAAATAAATAAATAAAATTAAACATTGCGACAAATTATTTTATTAATGTAAATTATAAAATTAGCCTTATATGTTTAGCCATAATCGACCATTTTAAATATCTCAATTATACTTTTTATCTAAGGTCTTAGTTGAGATGAAAAAGATAGTCACGGAACGGGGATTCGAACCCACGCCCTTCGACTGTAGCATGTTGACCAATAAGTCAGGTCAATAGAAAATATTCAAATTATTTTCGTCATATACAGTGAAATTATATTTGCAATAATGGCTGTCTCAACTTTAAATATTGCTATTTTGTATTCATTGTTTGTTAAAAGTTGAGTACCAATTTAATTTTTGAATAAATTGTAAACATTCCACAAAAAGTTTTGATTTAGATGATGGGTGAAAAAAATTACAACAAAGCGTTCCATGGCGTAAAACATTTGTACATCAACCATTAAATTTTATTAAATACAATCCTTGTGTTATTTATATATACTTGTAATTTTTTTTTTTTGTAACTTATCTTTAAAACCTGTAAATATCAAGGGACCGATCAAATAAAGTAAAACAAAACATATTCAACAGTTTTTTTATTGTTTAATCCAAGAATCTTGTACTTAAGAAAAGCTGAACAAATTACAAATTTTATAACATTTAAAATGTTCTCCAAAATCGCTTTCTTATAATAAAATAAAATTTATTATTACTAGTGACCCTCATTTTAAATTACCCAAATCCTACACGACATACAACCTATGAATTAATTAATAAATCAATTTGCTCAAAAACTAAATTGACATAGAAATAAATAGTACACGACTCAAAATTAAACGATTATTATGTATGTACAATAACAAAATACAATTAAAAAGATTGAAACAAGTGGAGCTGTTGCTTAAAATGTTTTGTTTTAAATAAACATGGTAACAATTTTCATTTATTGAGTAATATCAAGACATTAAATCACAAGGTTTTTTTGCCACACGACAAAATTGAATTAATAAAATAGATGCATATTTTTACAAAAACAGAAAATTCAATTAACACCAAAATTGTATTACAAACAAAAATTTATCGTGTAATCCTTCTTATTCCTAAAATTCTACACGTGGCGCTTAAATTGCTTCTACTCTATAAAAGTGGAATTTTCAAAAATCTATAATTATTTACATTCTATATTAATCATCGTTGTTTCTTTTATGAAATTATGTATAATAACTTTTGTACAATTTCCAACTTTGAGGCACATTGTGTTTGTTTTTTCAAAGGAACTAGAAAGACAAACTTGATTTTATCTTAAATAAAAGAAAAGTATTTTTGAAACTTATTAATAATTAGGCCTTTAAGATCAAATAAACTAAAAATATTGTTTGGTACAAGTAAAGAAAAAAATAAAGCACAAGGTAAAATGATTTGTTTTCTTTAACCCTACTAGTTAGCTATGTTAATACCAAATAATTTATACATGACTAAAATATATTAGACATTTTGTATGCAGTTGAATTTGGGTTATTTCAGTGAAGTTTTACTGGATCAGATCACTCTTTTGCTATAAAAATGTCTACTGCGCTTACAAAAATTACATCTTTTTTGTGAACAAATATAAAATATTTGGTCGTTCATTCAATGATTACAGTTGTACAACCATAGATAAAAATAATACAAGATTAAATAATGATGATATACAGTTTCAATTTTTTAAATAAAATGAATATTTTCTTTTTAAGGGATTTCCTGGACAAATAATTGTATTAAAAATGCCAAAATTTTAATCTGACAAATGTGATGTATTGATTAAAGGAACAAACAAGCAGTCTGCTTTATCTGTACTTGAACCAAAGCGAATATATTAAAATAAATTAAAAAAAGATGTTATCACAAGAGATAAAAAATAAATAAAACAAGTTGGGAAATTATTCTTTAAAAAAATATTTTAAACAAAATAAATGAATTAATGACCAAAACAATGTTTTCCTTCAACATTTTAAGTTAAATTTCCCTTTATTTAACAATACCATAGTCCTTTTAACAAAACAAACAGAATAACTACAAATAATACATATATATTTAAATTCTCATATGTACGCTATTCAGTTCTGTGCATTACAACACAAGTAAAAATATCATGAAAATATATTTACAGTAATAAATTTATTGTTAAACTTTACAATATAATAACCTTTGTCTAAAATTTGTATTCGAGTAGTTTTTTAATTACTAATACTATATCCTTTTTTTTAATAAAATATTTAATGAACCTTACTGATGTTATAATCACAGAAGGTATTAATTGTCATGGGGGCAAGAAACACCATTTACCTCTTGATTACTGTTTCAAACAAATCTTAAACCGTGTTTCATCAAATCTTTTATAAAATATCCATATTTACAGGCATCTGAGGCACTTTCATCATTATGATTATAAATACATACACACACACACACACGCACGCACAAAGAAAGTTCTTCACAACTACAGAAAAGAAAAGAAATAAAAAGAAAGAAAGAAAAATTAACTTACAAGCTTTACTAATTCACAATCTTTTTACACAATCATTTTAGTCCCTTTTCAAGATAACCATTAATTGTTATTAAGGCATTTTATGTTTTCAAAACAGTTTTATATTAAAGGCAGCTAATATTTGTACTTCTATTTCTATTAAGAGGCAATATTGAGGTTTTTTTTCTGTTTCGCAGTTACAACTTATATGACGGCTTATAAAAGTTTGCTGTATGATTGGCAATACTCCAGTTTAAAAAATACAAACGCCCCTTTTTTACCATATATTACACAAACACAGCAATGTAATTTTGTTTTGCTTTTTAATTACATTTTTATAAATACCGAATTTCATGTTGAAACCATTACTATCAACTAAGAATCTAAATTATGCTTGTAAACAACAACAAAACAAAAAATCAGTGACTTGAAATAAAAAGTCAAATATTTTTAGAAGTTTGTAAATAAATTTGAATACTCCTACTTCCTGATAACATTTTCTCAAGTCAAGTTTCTGGACATTTTCAATTTATGTGAAATATTAACAGATTAGAAAGAATTTTTTCGATTAATACAAGCAAATTAATAATCCAATCAATAGTTTTATAAGGGCTAGACATTTTCAACAAAATATAAATTGATATTAATATACAGAAAAGTTTTTCATGTTCAAAATAAAATTAATTCCGTCATTAACATTACAGATTTAACACAAAATATAATTAATATGTATCAATAGTAATCATCAAATTTAATTTCTTAATAAATGTGCTATTAAACAAATTGTAAAATAGATTAAATATCAATTATTTAATAAACTGAGGTACAATCTAATTTTATAAATTTTCTGGACTATAAAGTAATACATATTTTCTAGTTTAAACCCAATAGCATTCATAATATTGGGAATTTTTTTATGATTAGTTTGATTGTAATACTGTTATACTGTATAATTAATCAAATTTTATATTCTAGAGTGGTAGCTATAAGATTCATTTTTAGGAACTTGGGATTGCAATTTTTTCCATTTTTTAATTTTCTTTTTTTCTCAAATATTTTAACAAGTAAATTTTTCAGTCTAGTTTATTAAAAATAATTAAATAAAATGATAATAAACAATTGGATGAATAAATACTCTAACCAGGCCAGAAAATTTGTTGAGCAAAAGAACTAAAAGTGAAAGAATTTTAATTTAAAATGGTAAAAAATATACAGTACACACATATATATATGTATATACATATGTATATAAAATTCAAAAGATAAAATAAAACTATTATCAACTTGCTGCGATAAACATGTCCTGCAATCTTTTTACAGTACTTTTGTCTAATGCACACAAGTCAAAGTCAAAAGTCCTTTGGGTTATTTCAAATCTACCTGTTTCTGAGATGACTTGAACCACTTTTTGCAGATCAGCATTGTCCTGCAACGTCATAATTTTGTGTTGAAGATCCTTGAGTTGGGTGACGTACGCATCAGTGAAAATACTGTCGGGCGAAGGTGACCTTTCAATTTCTTCATTTCGGAGCAATGGCGACCTCTCGATCTTCTCTTCTTTTGGTTCAACTTTGACTACTTTCTCACTCGGTTGATCCTCCTTGTCTTTGGACTTCCTCTTTCTTTTCTTACCTTCTTTCTCTTTGTCTTTAGATTTTTTCTTATCTTTCTTCTCCTTTTTCTCTTCTTTCAGTTCAAATTTTTTCTCCTCAAGTTTTTGCTTTGGAGGTTCCGTTTTGTCTTCATCCATGCTACCTGAGAAATCAGAGTCTGAATCTTTATCAGATAGTTCTTGAAAAAGCATGTTTAAAGGGTTGACACCAGCTTTATTTTTTGGTGGGCTAGGAGATCTTTCTCTAGGAGGAGTCTTTGGCTTGGGAATTTTAGGTATTAAGACTTCTGGAGATTGTTTGTCCATTTTCTCTTTTTTAATTCGACTCTTTTCTTCTTCTTTTTTATGTTTGTCTTTCTTTTTGTGTTTATGTTTTGATTTTTCTTGTTTTATTAACTCGTGTTGCCTTTCTTTGTCTTTCTTGTGTTTAATTTTCTTATCTTCTTTTTCGTTGCTTTTATCTCTGTATTTAGATTCTTTTGGTTCTTTAATTTCTTTAGGCTCTCTTATGGGTATGGATGGGGTAGGAGGAGGAGGGGGAGGAGGAGGAGGAGCAGGAGCAGGAGGGACAGGAACGGGTTCTAATTTCTTCTCTATTTTCTCCCTTTCAACAAATTCTTTCTCTTTCAATTCTTTCTTTTCATGTTCTTTGTGTTTATCTTCTCTCTTTCTATCCCTATCCTCCCGATTTTTCTTATCCTTATGCTTTTTATCTGACTTTATACTGTCGGTTTTAGAAGATTTTTCCTTTTCCCTATCATCCAGTTTCTTAGACTCTTCTTTCTTTATTTCTTTAAGAACAGGTGGCAAAGGAGATATCGATTTTTTAATGGGTTTTCTCTCTTTCTCTTTGTGGCTATCTTTGTCTTTACTCTTCTCCTTTTCTTTCATCTTTTCGGCATCTTTATCTCTCTTACTCCCTTTGGAACTATCTTTTTCCCTGTCTTTGTCTTTGTGAGGGCTATGCTTGGTAGATTTAGAGCTTGAGTCTTTGACCTTAAAAATAAAATAAAATTATTATAGATAACCAACAAAATAGACAAATTAATAAACACATTTTTACCTTATTTTCATACATTAATTTGGACTCTGAACTTAGTTTAGAAGGTTGTTTGGAATTAGGTGAGTGTTTCCCTGTTTTAATTGGTGGTCCAAAAAGTGCAGCAAATGAATTATTGCATAGGACTTCTTCAGGTTTTGTAACGTCCTAAATAATTAATACATAGAATTTAAGATCTTAAACTAATAAAATATCAATTTTTTTGTGTCTAATATTTACCTTTGGTTTATGTTTCTTTGGTTGGTCCACATTATTGTTTAATTTAATCTTTGAGGAAGAATGTGGTGATGATTTTAAATCATCTAAATGACTATTTGATGTGTTATGAGGTTTTTCAGCAATTGCCGCTAGTCCATCGTTTCCTATTCCAATCTGAAAAGTCAATTCAAAGTTAAGCATTATGCACTTATTGTATAAATGGTCTATTAAAAATAGTTTACTAGATGAACATATCAAACAAGTGATCAACAAACTGACGGCCCAGTGATAATTATATTAAAAGCTTAAGACAAATATTAACAATCACTTACACCACCGCCACGGATAAGTTTCCTTCTAAACTCCTCTGAAGGATTTGGGAAGTCCGTTTTGTGCCTGGTGACGTTTGAAATGGTTCCATTTGCTCGGATTGTCAATTCGTAGTAAAAAGTAAGCTTCCTATTCTCATCTTTAGTTTTAAGGTAAATATCAATCGGTAAGCTAAATCCAGCATATCCAGATTCTTTGAGAGAATAAGGTGGTTCTTTAAATGCTGAAAAAAACATTTAATTTTAATAAATATTATAAATGATCTAAAATAACCTATTTATGAGAAAAAAATTGTTAATAAATGTTTTAAATATTGAATCCTTGTGCTCACTTTAGAAAAATACAAGTCAGCAAATCTTTAAATATTAAAAAATAGCACTACAAGAAAGATATTAACAAACCAGGTTTTCAACAATAGATACAGTCATCAAATTGTTCCTACTTTTTTTAAATGTTATGATACTTTTTTTAAATGAACGTGGTATAAATCAATAGGTTAGGGATAGTTAGGGGTTCTTTTGTTTTTCCCAAAGAGAAGGTTTTAATAAAACAGAGCAATGTTTTTCCAAAGCACCATTATTTGTATTGTTTATGCATATTTAACATAAGGGTTAAGGCTCTAATGCAACAGCCGTTAGGTTTATGGTCCCCTGTGTTTTAATACAGATTGGCAATAGGAAGGAATTCTTATTATGGTTTTGTTAACAAATCGTCTCATGCCTTACACTTAATTGTGACTTCACAGATGAAGACGTGCAAAGCAGTTTCTTTATATTTTGTCACAGAGCTAAATTATGTCTCTTCAGATGGCAGAGCCCTGTTAGCAAGCTTGTCAATGTTCTAACACTGATTCTATTTTGTTCAGCTTTTTTTTTTTAATTATCTCTGCTAATGACTATTGCAATTAGGATCTAGGCCTGTAAATCTTGAAAAACTTTTGTTTTTTATACCAAGTTAAAAGGACCTTGTTGGATTGTTTAATACAATCTTCCAAACTTCTCGGAAGCTTGGGCATCTGTCTGATTGGCAATTATTTTCTTAGCTTGATCATCTCTGATCATTAGTTTATACATTAAGCACAGTTTGAAATGCTGAAACACGTCAGATTAGGATAGTGAAAAAGAGAGAGCGAGAGCGAAAGAAACCTCACAGTCCTTACCATGATATTTCAAAATTATTTTTTTACAATTAAAGTAATTCCTTTCTTACAGGATGGCACATGGGTGTCAAGAACATTGGTTCCAACCACTTTAGAATACTTTTTTTCTTCATTTTATTCTCAATTAAAAAGCCATGGGCTGTGCAGTGATTAAAATCCAAAACCGCTAGGGTAGCAAATATGAATGTTTCTAATTATTGGTGTCCCATAAATATATCATTTCCTAGGCGAGAATTATTTAGAGTCCATGCCTCCATGAGGAGCTAGGAGAACAATTTTGGATCAGTTTGCTTCTTGCAAATATCTGCAATATTTCAGATGAGGGCTACTCTTGACGTGTGTTTCAACTGTCCTCCACCTGTTTTTAAGTGAATTCGCACTTTATGCAATTTTTGCTCATAGAGGAGCCCTTAATGCTTGTTTGATGGCAAGTTGTGTGAATTTTTCATAAGTAGCCATGGTCAGAGAAAATGTAATTATTTGAATTCAAGAACACACTTTTAAAATATTGTACATAAAAAAATTACAAAAATCATTTCAAATTTATGCCAACTACACTGGAACAATCACTACTGACAGACGAATTACTCTGAGAAGTCTTTTAATGTGAGAGCTCAAATGTGTAAATTGTCTGTAGATGCAGTCAGATATAGTTGGTTCAAGGGTGAGACGACCCTAATTCCACTTTAGAAACTGATTTGTATTTTAACAATTTTTTTTTTAATTCAGCAGCATTTTTTATTTTACACTGATCAAATAGAAAATAGATTTGACTGGAAACAATGCCATTATAAATATGTTAAAAGCATGATAAATAAGTTGTGAGATTTCTCTATATGGTGATGAACCTGCCATTTGGTCGTCCGGGTCTGGCAAACCAACATATCAAGGATAGGCAGGCCAGGAATATCAATCCTCAATCATCATGGACTGACAGATCAACATAGGAAATAAGCAAGCCAGGGTGATTGGCAACATCCTAATTACATAAAAAATAAGCCCATACTGACAGAGACAAGTAGTACCAAACTTGATTTTTGTTTACTCCAATTTATCTAATAAGAAATTACATTATATAAGACAATAATTAGACAGTCATTGGTAATGTTGAGAGTGAGTTTGCCTTCAAAAAAATTTAAAACCATCTATTAAAAATTTGATTGAGTCAATTTGTAGACAAATTTGTTCGTTTTGCCCTGATGATGACCTTAAAATAGGTTAAGCTTGTTAGTAACAACTGAATTTGTTTTTCATCCAGACATACAGAGATCCAGATTATTCATGAGTAAAAAAGTGATCAATACATGTAAAACTTTAAACAAATTAGACGTCTATCCGTTTATTAAACTTTTATCAACTTAGTTATTAAAATGACAGACTTAAGCAGTAAGAACTTGCAATCAAGTTATCTAAGCTTATAAATATTGTATGTTAGTATTTTTACTGTGACCTATATTCACTAGAAAATAATATTTTCAAATTTATAATTTTAGAAAATAGTAAAGCCATTGTTAATTGATCTGCGAAGTGTAAGGTCTGTGAGGTGATGAACCTACAAAGGTTGATTTATAAAGGCACATGAAGAGAACAGGTCTGGTCTGTGTTTTGAGGGCTTGTATTTATTACATGTACATAAAGTGACTGTGACATGAATTGCCACAACCAATTTGACGGTTCAGTTGTGATCAAGTCGCATTGTTGCAGTTCCATTTTTCAATTGAAGATTTGGCTAGGAAATTTGTTGGAGGAGGAGGAACGGACTCCAATGTGTCTACCCAGCATGGAAACTCTACAGAACGCATGTCCAATTTAAAGTCTTCAAACAATTAATTCCAAATGATCGCAATTAAATATTTTAGGATGAGGAGGGAATGATTCCAGCAAGGAATGTATCTATATTATAGGGTGGTACTTGTTTGTCTTTTTTCGGGGTCTTTCTTATCGAGAATATATTTCATCAGTAAGGCAGAAGGTGTATAAGGAGGAGTGGCAGTGTTTTGTTATCGTCTCACTTCGCTGTGACCTCAGAATATCCTCGCAACAACAGATGATGAGATTTGGGCCTGGTTGGTTTCAGCATCAAGCTCTTCTGGGAGTGCTTCTTCGATTGCATCTATTTGTTCTGTTAGTGCTGATGTTTCTTGCACTGAAACATTAGTTTGTGTGTCTCTGAGGTTTGAATAAGGCAGAATTGTATCAACAGACGCGTACTGAGCGACAACCTCAGCCGAATTGTTGGTAATGACAAATGAGTGGGAATCTTCTGGGAATCGCATGTGCGATTGCGTGTGTATAAACACTTCCAATGAAAAGCAAGGAAGCAACGTTTCCAACGACCCGTCTAGTTCTGTTCATGTTTCTTTTATGTGTCTATAATCAATCTAAATTTGATCATTGTGTACTTACTTGGTACGTCAGACCAGGATGATTGGCAACAACCGAATTGTTTAAAAAATACACTGTTATCCATTGATTAAAGTTTTTTTAAAACTTATTTATTAGAATGTCGACAGACTGAAGTAGAAAGAATGTGCAATCAAGTTATCTAAGCTAATAATATTAGTATTTTTACTGTGAACTATAAACACTACTGACTAGAAAATAATATTTCAAACTTAGAAAATAGGAAAGGTGCTGTTAATTGTTTTGTGAAATGTAAGGTCTGTGAGGCGATGAATCTGGGATTTGGTCTTTTTTTATTGGAACGGAAAATTTGCGCTTATTTTTATGTAATTTGGACACTTCCTATCACCCTGATTTGCCTATCCCCGCTATGTTTGTCCGTCAGATCAGGATGAACACAAACGACTAAATTACGTAAAAAATAAGCCCAAACTTTATACTGACACAGACTAGTAGTAATAGTAACGGAATAGCTGATTGTTTTGTGAAATGCTGTGAGGTCTGCGATGCGAGAATCTGTAGCTTTTACTAAACCCTAAAGCTGAGTGAGAATAGAGGAAAATATCGGATACAATCAAACTATATTGTTTTATTTATATAGAGATGATTGATGAAATATTTGACAACATATATGACAAGGATTAAAAGCTATAGTTTAACACTAATTTAATTTTTTTTAAATAATAAGTAGAATAAAACCCTAATGACTTGCTCATTATCATATTGAAATACTTGTTAAACTAATACTAAGGTTGTATAAATGAATAGGTCATACTTCTTGTCGGCTTTGAAAATGTGTTGTGTAGATGAAACACAACTTTATCGACGAAGTGGTGTATATCAGCCCCATCTACGCCGCGTACAAATACTTCCCAGTCATGGGTGAAACCGTTTGGGGTTTTCTTGTTCCTCAACGTTGCTTCATGACCAATTTCAAAGTGCACCCGCACACACTAAAAACAAACATGAATCGTTATCACTTATTCGCTGGTTTGTAATCCAACGGAGAAAAAAAATATAAAGATTTATTTTATTTCATTTATACTTTTTTTTCCTTACATATGACTCATTCATTGTTTATCGTTTTCAGCAATCTCCTTTAACTTGGACACAAAAAGAGACAAAAACAAAAGGGTATTCATTTCTCTCTCACTCTTATCAAATGGTCAAAAAATGCCACAAAGCGATTTTTATTTATATTATTACTCAGTTTACGAGGTGAAAGATAAACATTTACAAGGAAACAACTAAATTGTGCTTAATTTAGAGCAAGAGACGAGAGGCCGATACAAAAGAGGATTCGTTATGAAAACAAACAGAAAACTTGTTCTGTAGCCTCGAGGCACAATAAAATAAGTGAAATGAGTCAGAGAGAAAAATAAAAGAAGAATGGCGCAAAATTTCAACTTACCGAATACGCCATCTCCTCATCCACACATTTTATAATAAATAGATTTTAATATTTAACAAGATAAAATTATCAGCAATAGGAAAAAATCCTTAGGAAATACTTATTGTAACGGTTTTGAGAATACGGCGAAAGTGTTGGAAAAATAAAAACCGCTCCGCTTTTCGAAAACGGATTAAAAATAGTCTTTAGTTTTAAAGTGATTTTTTTGTCTTTTGGGTTTGTTGATTGGTCAATTTTCCCGATATCACCTGTGTTTACATCCGCCATCACAAAGCAACATCATCAACACAAAACTTACAACTGTAAACAAACATAGATGGTGCTGTGGAGACATCACAACAAAAACCCGGGAAATATATACAAAAAAGAAAAGAAAAAGATACGACAAAAACACTGGAAAATGCTTGAGATTTTCCACGTTTCAAAGCCAAACAGTCCTATCAATCCAACCTTTGTACAAGTTTAAAAATTATTCCAAAATCTTTATGAAAAAGCCTTTAAAAAAAGTTTTTCTTCTAATGTAATTATACTTATTGTCATTACAGTCATTAAGAACTATCCTAAATATTGTTAACTGAATAACTATAAAACTTGCATAATCATCTACTAATGCTCTCTAATCAATTTATTCAACAAAAATTTACCCCTATTTGTCTTTACTGTATTTATTTATTTAACAAGATTGAAAATACACTTTTTTAGAGAAGATAATTTTTTGATAGTAAATAATAATAACAACTCATATAAATTATCCTAAATAGTGTAGGGTGTAATATAGTGAACTCAAACAACATAAATTTATTTTCTATGTAGCATTTTCAAAGCTACGATTAGTTTCTTCTTCAGCATCCTACGGGAGATCGGTTTAAGATTAACTAGTCCACTATTAATTAAAATTAATTTAATAATTATTGTGCTATTAAACTATTAAACATTACATAATTACCAAAAAATACAGTCAATTTGTTTCAATAATAGTCATTAAAACTAATTTCTTAATAAATGTGATAATAAACAGATTGCATGATGGATTAAATAACAATTATTTAATGAAGTGAGATACAATTTGATTTATAGTTTATCTGAAGGTAATTATTTATGACAGTGAATATTATGAATTGATTTCGTATAAATGATCTTCAATTGTGTTCAATATATTGAACTCAAGGAATATACCAATTTATTTTCTGTGTAGCATTTTCAAATTTCTGACTGGCTTCTTCAGCACCATTCATCGTAGCATCAGTTTCACACTAACTAGTCAACTGTAATATTAATTAAAATTAATTGTAAATTATTTGGCTGTTAAACATAATAGCACAATAATAGTCATTAAAATTAATTTCTTAATAAATGTGCTTAATAAACAAATTTCATAACTGATTTATAGATTATCTGAACTGTATTTCCTAGTTTGAACCCAATAACATTATTGGTAATTTTATATCATTAGAATTATCATAATATTGTTATACTGTATAATTAAAGGTATTTTATATTCTAGACGTAGAAGCTGTAAGATTCAAAACCATACTTGATATTTACATAGATTAGTTTGTGTCTGTGTATTAGATCACCAGGTATGAGAATAGGGTAACCCTCATATGGATACCTGCTCATAAGGGGCACTATGGCAATGACAGCGGACAGCTTGGCCAAGGAAGTATCAAATACTGCGTTTGTCGGGCCACAACCGGTATTACTCCACTCTTTAAGCACAGCAAAAGAGAGTATAGGTAGCTGGGGCATGAAACAATTCCTTAAGGAATGGAATATGTCCCCCGGATGCAGGCAATCGAAGGAGTTTCTGAAGGAAATCAAACCTAAAGAAACGAAATGGCTACTCTCTAACTCTAGGAGGGGAATAAGGAGGCTGATAGGTATCCTAACGGGCCATTGCCCCTTGAGAAGACACCTCTTCATAATGGGTACTCTACCAGACCCCTTCTGCCGCTTCTGCGAAACAAAAGAAGAAACGGCTCGACACTACCTCGCAGAATGCGATAGGTATGCTAGGGAAAGATTTAATACTTTCGAAGGAGAGGAAAAGGGACCAAAACACTCCCCAGGATAAAATGGTCCACAATCCTGGGGTTTGTGAATAGGTCCAAAAGGTTTATGCAGGACTCGTGAGCCGACCAGGTCCCGGACCTTTTAGGGATGGGGTACGGGCCTACTCAGGCTTTTAACCCCTCGGGTCCTGGTCGCCCGCCCTGTGTAATATATAAGTTCTGTGTATTAGAAAACAGTGTGAACAATGGAGGCCACATTAAATCCTCAATTCTTTCGTTGGAACGACACATAAATTATTATCTATGAACAAAGCTTTATTTTTACTTTCAAATTATATCAATAATGATCAATAGAGAAAAAGTTGTAATAATAAAACCAATTTTTTTCTAAGATTGTTGATCATACTTATCGGTGACTTACAATGAAATATCTTATAGACTAATTATTTAATATACGCTGATGCTACTTTGTTGTATTAAAAATATATATTTTGCCTTTTACTAAAAGCTGCCGATGATTTTGCTTTCCTAAGAAAAAAAATGTGAAACAGAAAACTCTTTTTCATTATTAATGCATGATATGTAAATAAATAAGGAAGAACACTGGTTGAACTGGTCAACGCTAATCACTTTACTGGATCTGTATTTCGTCTCATTTTCACTCTTTCTTCATTCTTATTTGTATGTTTGTAACAGTTTACTGAAGAAGGTGTGAATCTATGACGCATATGCGTGAAACATAAACGATCTCTAGCTGTTTGGATCAGTGAGTAATTTGGCAGGCTTCAGAATCAGAAACAACTAGAGGTTTTCCAGAGAATGGATAAGTAATGTAATGTGAGCATTTTCCTGATGATTAAAAAAGTAATAATTATAATACATCCAATATTATTATTTAGTTACTAAACATAAAACATGGCTTTACATTTTTCATTTTCCAGAAAAGTTCCAGTAAAGTCACAAGATAGATCCTAGTAAAGTTTAGTAACTAGATAGGCCTATGGAGAATCAAAGAAAACATCACCCTGTTCATAATTCATCGATTATGGTTTAACTTAGTATAGTATATGCTAAGTTTTTACTTTTTACAATGGTTTCTCAAATCATCAGAGTTAATATTTCAATAATAAAAATAGGTAAAAAATGGTACTAGACTTTGGACGACTACTTAGGTCAATACGCTCAATTACAAAATATATAATAGCAAAATAACATACTATAAAAAAATGTTTATTGACTACAGAAACAATAACAATGAACAATAATCACAATGCCTCTATTGGATACATTTGTACAGATAATCAATTTCAGTGATCATGCCCATTTCAATTTTACAAAACGTTTCGTGGAGTTAGGGAAAAAAGTGTTTATAAAACTTCACTTTTGAATTATTGTAGAAATTGACTAAATGCTAGTTTGGAAATGCCAGCTTGTAAACTTCATCATAGTTGGTGACAAAGTGTATTTCTAAACCTTCGGTAATATATGAAGGCAGGTCATTAAAGTCTTTTTTATTCTCGTCAGGAAGGAGAACACAATTTACGCCCACTCTTTTTGCCTGAAAAATTAATTAATTATATATAAATAATAACTAAAATAGTTTTTTTTTAATACATACTGCCATGATTTTTTCTTTGATTCCTCCAACAGCTATGACATTTCCTTTTAATGATACTTCACCAGTCATTGTTATGTTTTGCCTAATTGGCCTGTTCATCGCTAAAGATAAAAGTGCTGAAACGATGGCAATGCCCCCACTTGGTCCATCTTTTGGAACAGCACCCTACAATTATAACAAATGAATCAATTAATTATGCTTTAACACAAATAGATAAATAATTATCACAATATAATAAACGTGAGATGATTTAATTTATTTATTTATATATTTTCATTTATCTACACGCTCCACTAATAGTATAACATGTAATAAAGGTACATATATATTTTTTAAATTGAAAATAAGATTAAGTACATTAAATATTGTCCTTGCATAATTGGCTATGGATTTTCGGATTCTTTATCAACATAAACAACCTTAACATATAATCATAGAAATCCATTTATCAAGACTTGAAGGGACTGGGACTTGTCTGGAAGATCGAAAGTCCGGATAAACCCAAAATTTGTGATTTTATTAGGTTCGTGTCATAAAAACAGACTTAAAA